AGTTCTGAATACAATACTGGTCTCCCCAGCGCCGTAGTGGCGGGTGGTCTGTGACCCACAGTTGTAACATGTTTCGTTATATTCCGCACACAACAGAGAATATGGCAAGTAAATTCACCACAAGAAAGAAAGAAAAAAGCTCATACCCAAAAGATAAGGCATGAAGTCTGTACCGTGTCATATATTTCCTGGTTGGCTCAACAACCCACCTCGCCTCACCCCTAACCCCCTCAATTTGGCCCCCTCCCAGAACACCCCCACCTCCACCACCACCCTTTGCCGAGACGAGTGCGAAACCAAAAAACGAAGATCATCCATTCCCCTATTACTCCCGACAGCTCACATACGATACGAGATTCATCCAACACCACGATCGTGGAGGCCAGGGGTGATACAACCCGAGCTCAGTTACACCATTTCCGAATAGGGTAACGTCTTGCGAGAGATGTGAGAAAGTGCTCTTGTTATTGTAAGAGCCCGAATGATAGAACTGCACGTTAGGGCGTTGGAGTTGGCTCTCCTAGCATAGTCTAGTTTTTTTTTTTTGTTTTTTATTGGGCTGAAAGGCAGTTTTTTCCCCAGATGATTCGCTCCGTTCACCCGAAAAAGGGAATTCCGGACGTCTCTGCATGAGGGGTAATTCCCCCAGTCCCAACGACCGATAGGACATGGCACGCTAGTATCACAGGAAATAATCCCGTTTAGAGGTCTCATTGTTGGCACAAAGCGCCCACCGTCGGTAGGTGGGGCTGCCGATCCTCATTACGCCAGTGCAACCCTAACCCTGTTACTTCGAAGGCCCCCAGCATTTTGGCCAGGGCACTTGTATGATGCGTTGATAGTGCAATTAAGGATTTTGGGGGATGTTTGGTGATGAGAATCTACCTCACGTATTTCCACGGTGCCCAGCGAGGATCTAGTATCGCACGACCGGCCACCCACAACCCAATACGCTGAAACAAAGAGCTGGGGATAACTGACCATTGGCACCCCCGCAGCTTCTTCAAATGACTTTTGGTCAAGAAATGCAGGCCCAAAAGGTGTGAATTAAAGGTGCTTTATATGGCACGCTTATTGAAAAGGCTTAACCGGTTTCCCAGGTTTGCGGAAGCAATAATCCGCCTTTTTTTCCAAGGATAACATGCAAGTTGGACCCAACTCTGCAAGCACAAGTAACAGGAAACAAGTACCGGGGCGCAGGGATTAAAGAAACATATGGCGAAACACCCGTGCGAGTCTGAGCGCCCATACTAGATCCAGAGTCCAATGTGCCGGCACATCTTGCCCGTTCCCTGTTAGAGGCGATCAAAACTTGATGGTAGGCAGCCATCAACGCTCCCCACCATACCGGTAGTGTATCAAAACGGTCCGTATAAGACTGATACACTCTGGGATCCTCATAGTGCCTTGCTAAAGTCGAGCCTTCTGAAGCACGCAACCCCAGAAACCAGTGTTCCTCGAACAAACGGGATACAATCCAACCTTCAGGCAAATGCTCGCTGATAAATAATATGCCAAATTCTGCTCCGGAAATGAGGCAATGAAATTCCGCCCCCTTGATTTCAAGCCTATCCCAATTTGCCGTATGGAGCGGTAGCTACTATCTAGCCAGATCTCCGAGTTTCTAAGGGGATACCATATGTTCTTTTGGTTCCCCAAGATCATACCTGACAGACATCACGACTAGTCACTCGACTGACCCGTCCGAGCTACCGTAGTGTCTATCAGCTATACAAACTAGCCCCCTTACAAATGCTTTGTTCCATCATTCACAGCCGTGCCTGGTTTGATGATAATCCCCTTCTCGTAACTTTTCATTCTTGGCCCTTCTTTTGTCTTCCAAGGTGTTCCTTTATCTCCCCCTTCCCCCGGTCCTTCCCCTTCCCAGCCCGAGAACAAACTCACCCCGGCTCACTACAGACAACTAAGCTTCCCCCTCCGGCGACAGACAATCACATGACTTCCACAAGTAGGAACGGTAAGACATAGGTTACAGAGTATCTCCTTCCTTGCGCAGTAAGGAGCGCAGCGTTATAAACTCTAGCCCCCTGTATCCTTCAGTGTCATGCGATGCCGTCTTACCCCAACCCCCGACGGGTGGAAAGACTAACCAATAAACCTCCCAATCGGTTCAAGTAATCCCGAAGGCAAGAGGAGGCTAGAACTCACAACTGCAAAATGACTGTTTCCCGACCGATGTCCTCCCGCTCCCAGACGAATTCGGAACGTTCTAGATGTCTGACTGATACTCCCATGACAAATCTCATGATACTTGATGTTTTCATAAACATTCGTTCAAAAGTTGTATTGTATTAGGCTAATCAAGCCCATATTCGGTCTCCATAGATAAATTGCCCCCGAGTGGGCGGGGGGCGTAAGTACAACACGGTACACCTACAAAGTCATGCAAGGGCTGTGTGCCAAAGCCAGGGGACTCGGGTAAACCTGACCGATAGTACAACATCCCATAATAGCGTAAGCGAGAGAGCCCAGAATCTCGCCTGACGTGACCTGACGCGGACGATCACGTCCGGGAGATTCATGCACCGTGACTGAGTTCCCGAAACTGCCAACTCCAGGCTGTGACAGCCCCTCTTGTGCAGATCACGGGGGTGGGGAAATCGAGTCGGTGTGGGGATACAGGAATACCGGTATACAAACTCTAATGTTTTCCTTGCGCCAACTTAACGCGTGAGCATAAGTGAGGCCGATTCGAATTTTATCAGCCAGAATTGGGGGTGTGTAACCGTAAAGGTTAATTTCTGCCGGAAATTTCATGGCGGAGAACAGTCAGGAAGACTATCGGTACAACGACTTCTCTAGCTAATCGGAACAGAAGCTAATCAGAGCATGTTCACCTCAGTCGTTCTTTTTTTTTTTTTTTTTTCATTGTATTTTAAACCTTTTATTTCTCATCGGGTTTTCTAGGTTGGCGTGCGGATGCAGTACAGCGCCCATCCAAAACTTCAACACACAACAAAAACTCCAAATCTAAAACAACTTGATCCCCTTTACCCAAATTCCAACTCACCAGAACTCCACTACTCTCGTCTCATACGACACTTGCACTTGGTATGTCCGATGAAGAAGTGCCCCCCCTCCTTCTGTCTGTATTCCTCTTTGCCCCGCTCCAAATATTCCCCCCTCTTGCTGTTGTCAATCTCCCCTAATTTCTTTTCCTCCCCCTCTATCATACCCACAGACGTATCACTTGCCCTTAACCCCCCTATTCATCCTCCTAATCCCTAAGCCCAGTCACAGATTAGTCCGGAGAACGCCAGACTCTCCACACCAGCCAGAACAGCAACTCACTAGGCAGAAAAAGCACTCCGAGTGACCCAAAAAGCAGGACGTGACCTTTAAGCATAAGAATCCACCGTCCTTCTATCTGGCTCCAGCGCTGCACGTATGGTACGAGTACTGCACTATCTGCGACCCATTTCACACGCCCACTACCAACCCATGGTACCGATACCACAAGTGTCCCCAACCCGCAGCGTCAAGCCCCACCTTTGGTGTAATATCGGTCCGGGCTTCTCCCTAGACCCCGCTCGGGGTTCCGCTGGTGTGGGGTCGTGGTGGCGCGAGGCTGGGGGGGTTATTGATGAAGACTTGTCCGAAGCGCTTCTCGCGTGTATGAAACCCCCCTACCTCCAAAGACCCAAAGGAGTTTAGAAAATCCACAAAGATATGCCACGATAGGTATTATAAACCGACTACACCACAACATGAGCAAAACAAAAAGGAAAGAAAGAAAGAAAAGAACAAAAGTCTAATCCAGGACACATCCCTTCATCCACCCCAACACCGCTACCCGCATACCTTCATCTGCACTATCATCTCAAGTTCACCCCCAACCGCGGGGAAAGCATCTGAATTCATGCAAGAAATTCCCCCGGAATCAGCCACGGCCCCCGCCGCAACATTCCTGTACAGTAGAGTAGAGCCCAAGACCAGGCTGTGTCTCCCAACCGCCCCGCACTGTACTAGTACGGTACTGCAGCCTACGGTACGGTACTATACTCGTAGATGCCAGTATTACATCGTAGCACAGCAGCAGCACGGTAAGCAACAAGACGAACCGAACTGCAGCGGAAGGGCCGTTGCGCCTCACCCGGGAAGTGTACTGTACAGTAAAGCCGGTGGCACAATAACGTGCAGTACTGTACAGTATTATATACCAGAAAAAGCATTTTCTTCCCCTTTCCCAACATAAAAAAAGGACGAGGCAGGAGGGTTTTTTCGCACTTGAGATCGCGCGATATGTTACTATTATACTATAGTACAAGCACAGTATGACTACGATATTCCCCACGCCCGATTCACACTCCTCAAATAACTCTGCGGTACAATACAGTACTGTACGGTACTATCTGTACCGTGGCACGCGCTCAATAGTCAGCAAACGCGAAAACTACCGGTGCTACGAGTACTGTACAATACGCCTCACCTCACCCTCTAAGAGCCGAGACCCATCACACCTATGTACCATACCAGTAGCAAGTTAGTATTCATGGGACAGTACCGGCACAGTAAAGTAAACTAAAGTACCACCCCAAGGAAAAAAAAAAAAGTGAAAAATCCCGTGATATCTCCTTCTCCCACTCCAATTCCCAAATACCTGTTTTCACCTTGGTTTATTTCTGGCTTGTTCGTTTGCCCACCGGTACTTGTACCAATAATAACCGCAGCAGCTTAGCGCCAAGGTTAGACGAACGGAAAAGGAAAGGGAAAAAAAAAAGATAGTACCGACCAAGTTAACGATTAGAATCGCTCTTCCGGAAAATTCCCTGAAACGTTCCTGGTGTCGAATTGGACGTTTTCGGTTTTTTTTTTTTACCGCTGTGATTGGGTGGGAGGGATTTTGTCGGTTGTTTGGCGGGTTTTCTATCCGCCCACCAACCAGCCACCCCACCCGCCATCCGCGAATAGGAATCTTAGTCAAGTAACTATTTCGAAGCTCCGGTTTGATGTCTGGTGCAATAGAAGGTAGAGTGATTAATAAAGAGTGTCTTGTTATATGATATCTAAGTGATGTGCTCTGTGCTTCTACTCCCGATTCAACCTCTGCCCAACCCAGTATTAACAAGATGTAAGTTGTACAAATATTGAGAAAGAAAGAAAGAAAGAAAAGAAAAAAAGTCCCTAAAAAAGATACATGAAGGAAAGTAATGGAGTTATGATATAAAATGAGAGACCGTGATATGCACCGAAACCCGAACCGAACCGAACAGACCATGCAAGAAAATAAAAATGCTCCCCCTGATCCATGCAAATGTCCCCAGGAACGAAATGAAAAATGATAAACCCCACCGAATATGCATAAAGTGAAAATGAAAAAAATGAAAAGGAAAAAAAACCTGAGGTGAAATAGAAAAACATCATCACACTGGTAATTACATGCCATGCTATAATCATGACACCATATGCAACGCAAAGGAAAACTTGCAATAAAAGAAATGAAAAGGATGATGAAGGAAAAGGGTCAAGTTAGACCATCTCCTCGACCCGTACCTTCTGCTCATAAATCGGTGGAGGCGTGGCCGGGATCGAAGGCGAATAGAAAGTGGGAGGAGAGGAACACGAAGTCGGAGGAGAAGAGCACGAAGTAGGGGGAGAAGACGGCGGCGTAGGAGACCCCGCACTCCCGCAATCTTGGAAGGTCAATCTGGATCGCCGGGCAATGTGCTTGCGAAAGAGCACGCGAATTCCGGGCAGGCATGCGGCAATGCACGCCAGAATGGCCTCAACCTCAGCGTACCCGACGGCGCTCTCCTGAATGGGGACGTACACGCTCGCCCTGTTCTGCTCGCTCGCCATTCCGTTGTAGATGTTGTCATACGTCCTATTCTGATTCTTCATTCGTACCGCCAACACGATCATTCTGATGAATGCGACGACAACGGTCAGGGATCCCATCGTGATGATGAGGTACGCGGAGCGGATGTTACTCCCGCCGAGGTCGAGGGAGCGCACGATGGAGAAGCCGGCCACCATGATGAGGATATCCACGAGGACGTTTATGACGCTGGCGATGACCGATGGCGCCAGATTCGCGCGGCAGGTATCCGTATCGGTGAGCGCTTTGAAAGCCCAGTTTTCCGATATAGGGAGGCACCAGAGGCAATGGAGGCAGATCACGAATATGAAGGTTACCGCGACCGCTGCTATGGTGATATACAGTAGCTTGCGGGTCCGGTGGGATAGCTCCTTTGAGAATTCAAAGTAGATGACGACGAAGGCGACCTTTACAAGCCAGAGGACGACGTAGAAGAGGATCATGGAGCCGAAGTTGACCTATTCATTGCATATCAGATCAGTCCCGTTCCCCGTGCTACTCCGAAGGCGGAAGAGAAACATACCTTGAAAACCAGCTCCATAGGGGCCCGAGGATCACCGTCAAAGACGACGTCCCCAGAACCTGATGAGTCGGCGTTGTAAAGTGATTCAAGAACATCCTTGGGAACGCTGTGCAACGGCCCGACCAAGCTCCATGTAACCGCAGCGCAGACCACCGTTACCAGCGTTACTGTCAGGGAGATGCACAGTGTACTGATCCCGCGCGGAGAGAACATGCTATAATTCGTGCTTCGCAGCGCCCACGTTCGCAGGCCGAGGACAATGTAAAGTACTAGGACAAGAGTCCATATTAGTACCACGTGACCCCAGTTCGATAGCTCCTGCATCTTGTTGCGGTTGTATTGTTTGTTCCTTAGTTGAGTGAGATTAGAGATAGGAGGAGGAGGTGGAGGAGAGGTCGAGGTGTTTTATGTTATCGCAAAGAGGAAAGGAAAGGAACCTCTCCGTCGTGAATCCTAATGAGCTATCATATGCCACGCAAGATGGTGAGGTAGAGCATGGACATTGCGGGACCCAGGTTTCATTATATAAATGCCGGACCTATGCCAGTGAGAACCTTAACTGCCCCCGCCCCTCATGTCTAGGTAGCCCTGAGCTCTCTAGCCAGGGACGCTCCCCACATGCTGCTAAAAACTCGGCCTATGAGACCTGTGCTAATTATCAACCATTCGTGGCGCAAGCGAGCAAGGACCAACAAAGATAGCTCTCTACCGCTCCTAAATAAATTTACCGTAAGCAAGCAATTTAGCGACCCGAGTCTGACCCTAAACAGTAGCCCACCAGGAACTAACCAAGACCTAAATTACCCACCCACAGGTCAGAAAACGGCCTCCAGGACCAATGCTAAAACGAGCAGGTCCCAAGAGAGCTCTTTGTTTTTTTCCCTCTTCTCTTTCTCCCTTTCCATTGCCCTTCCCGGTAAGGTGGGTATCTGATGAGCAGAAAATAGTAGAGGGGCATTTCGAGAGAAGTGAACATCATAATCAATAAGCTGTCAAGGTGCAACTTTTTTTTTTTGTATCACGGCGAAAAAAGAAAAACCCGTGACCAAGAGAGTCCATTTTGGTGTCCAACATCATGAGAATCCGCACAATTATGCTGAGGGAGGGCCATCAATGCTAAATCAGTAAACTTCTACATTCAGGTGATGCCTGTCTATGGTTTCGGGAAATGTGACCCTGGACCAGTGAACGGGCTGGGCTGGCATGGGTTTAGATTCGGCGCTTGCCGGGGAACCATAGGTAAAGATAGGTGTGGCCCTGGGATCCTACTGGGCGGATTTAAGAGGAAACCGTGTTGCCCTTACTTAGAGTAGCTAGCTACGCGTTCGGTACCCACAGGGATGTTTTGCGGGCCAAAAAAAGGTCGAGAGGATATCCTTTGCCCCTCCCCTTCGCGGCTGAAGAGAAGCGGTGCGATAGGCCTTGGAAGGCTTCTATTGGAGCGCACCTCTTCTGTATTTGGCTCTCGGGTGCCGACACTGGCCTAACTTAGCGATTCCCTGAAAAGAAAGCCTACACGGGAACTCCACTTGCCCCGATTGAACACCCAGACGAGAATAGACGAGAATGCTGGTACTCGTAGACGAGAATAGTCCGAACCGGGGCTTGTACTCGAGTACTCGAGTACTTGTATTGTAGCCTCCTCCCATGCTGCCACCCGCACCCCTCCAAGAGTCCTAACCTTCTCTTGGAAGTTCGCCATTCCATCTCCCGTGCCCAGCGCCCCCACTCACTCATTTCCTACAAAGAATAAACAGGTTGCTCCCCCACTCAGATGTTGCACTCGTCCCTTCAACCACTTCTTCCCCTGATACTCTGTCGGAATTCCTGCAAAGGTTCCTGCATAAGACTTCGCTCTCCTTCCGGTATTCAAGCCGAAATTGTGTGTTCATTCCAACCGTATCATCACCGTACAGTAGGCGGGAGTCACGACTGGACGGGAAATACCGGGGCTTGCCGGCTTTCCAAGACTTGGTGCTTGGGCGATTACCGGGTCGTGAAGAGCTAGATGCTCCCATACCTGAGCTCCATCCCTCGCCAAAGCCTTGATTTTCTTGAAGCGCGACACGAGTGTGAAGGTTTTAGCGACACTGTGATGATAGAAGAGAGAAAGGAGAAGGTGGAGAGACAAAGCGTTCCCTGAGGAGGCAACAGCCATCCAGCCCCCCGCGACCCGAATGGCGGACGTATAGGAGTACGTACCGTGTTATACGAAAGTATCGTGACAGTGCTCGAGAAAATACCTTCGCAGTAGCGCAATCTTGCAGCCAATTTCCTTAGCTAGGAGCACACCTTGTCCTCATTGACTCCCCGTGATCCGTGAATAATCCATCATAATTTCCCTCTCTCCAATCTCTTTTTCCAAAGCATTTTTAACCCTTCCTCTCCAATTCCCTTCCCCTTGTAATCCCACCCGTACGACCCTATTCGATGACTTGACGACCGGTATGTACCCCACATATAACGCGCCTGTCGGGAACGTAGTGGGGTGCTCGAGTACTCGAGTAAGCATTTCAACACCCGCAGCTTCGTTGGATCACTCCTTACTTCCCTGACTCCGGTCACACGCCGCCTGACCACTTTCCTGACGGATGCATAAATTATGCGCGGTTGCTAAGCCTTTGTGTAATAATTAACCGGATATCGTACTTGCCCGCGGCAGAATCCTGAGTGTGCGAAAGGTTAATTTCTCAATTCATGCTTGTGCGTCACGGGATCAGGAGGGGTGCTGAGGGAGGCAGGGAGGGGGAAGTGTTTAACGGTCTTGACGCGCGTAACGTGTGGTGCCACAGGTACGGTACAGTACAAGTACTGTATCGTACTGTAGGTATCATACCTCGGACTGAAGCCACGGAGGCGGCCAAGTGCCGTACATCGCGATGTAACGCAACTCTGCCGAGGTGCCGGGCCCCCGGGTATGAGGGGGGCCTAACCATCTCAAGGCTGCGATGCAGCGGAGAGGCCCGATTGACATGCATTTCATTACGGCATGGCTTCGATTGATGAAAAGACATGTTGTGGAGTAAGGTACTATACTCGAGTACTCGTACTTGTAACAGCGCGGTGCCGGCACTTGTACCATAATACGACGGAACTCTAGATCGAGCCTGGTTGTATTGTACTAGTATACTGTGGCTAGCGGTGAAGGATATTCAGTTGTAGATTTGGAGGACAATATTTCATGCTCTACAAATGAGGCATTTTCATCTCAGAAGCAAGTACCGGCAGTAACACAGATAAATGAGGCGGCGTTTTCCTTCCGCCTGCGCACTTGTATCATAAATTTACTTCTGAAGCGGAGCACGGAACTCATGGGGTTTGGAAACCCAACCACCATATCAAACCCTGATTTTCCGCGAGCTTTTACGGTATCATACGATGAAAAATCCCAGTGACAAGGGCTAGCCACAACAGACTCTGCATTATTTCCATCTCTCGGGGCGAAAGTAAATACGGTACCGGTGCACTGCTTGCAAAAGGAAAACCAGATGAAGGGGCGGAGCGCGCCTAATCCTAGCGACGGGTCGTCGCCGTTACCGTATGATACTCGGGAGAATCAAAAGTCTGGCACCTGCTAACGCTTGTCAGGTGTAGGACAGAAAAACATCCGCGAGCCTTAGAAGCAAGGGGTATGGGGCAGTACCAGTACAGAACCAAACCTGTGTTCTGGGGCAGGGCAACCCGGAGGTATGATATACAATCTCTAGAGGGTTAAATATTTGGAAGGGGTGGGGAACTGGATGGGATGATACCGTAGGGAAGCGATATAAAATCCTAACGGCCGAAAAGTAAGACGGAAGAAATCGGTCGTATTGCCCTACACTGGTGTTCGTGAGGTTCTTCGCCGGAGGAGTGGTACAGTACGAGTACTGGACGAGTACTCGAGTACAGCACTAGTACTGTGGCAGGGTCTTGGCGGCAACAGAGGTATGATAGCACGATAACCCAGACATTACGTATGGACAATCAGCCGCTCTACCGCGCCTTGCTTGTAAGAATTTCGAGTACCCATAGCCTCTCAACGCCACGCGGGACACTGGTTTCTAGGGGTATCAACATGGCTCCCATATCGTCAAGGCTGCCAGAGCAGGGTAATTGCCTTGCCTCCCCTGGCGGCTATACCCAGGGGACAGGCTCAAGGGGTTATGGTATGAGATTGCCGAGGTGTCGGTTCACCAAACTCTACTCCAAGAACTCTACTCAAGGATGAGATGAGGCGTCTTGATCATGAATGCTTGTACAAGTACCAGGGCAGTAACTTGCTCCGAATCCGACCTTTTGGGCACAATTTTCATCGGATGATTCCCTCACGGCTACCCCGAAAACCAACCTAGAGTCCATCTCCGATCGGGCAAGAGGATACTTTCTGTGATACCCACTGGCACTTGGGTTCGGAGCACCTCGAACTATTTTAGCCTCTTCTTATCCTACCACCACCGATGCAGCATGATGGGATCTCGGCAACCAAGCCATCAATGCTTCGCTGTAAAGCCACATCTCCTCCTCGCGTTACAGTACTTGTATGGCTCATGCGCAAAAACAGGGCTTGGATTGACATCCGCGAGAAGCACATTCAATTGAGCGAGTCCATGCGAAGGGAATCGAACACTTTTGGTCGTGTACGACTCGCGAGCTACCATATGGTGCTTGTGTGGTACCCGACCGATTGTCACGCTTTCTGTTGGCTCAGAAGAGCGAATCCTAGCAGAGCGCTAAACGAAACTTTATTGGTTGTTGGTTGGTTTCCCCCATCACCTCCTCCGACCAGTGGAGCACCGTGCTAAATGATAAAACCGAGTAATTGGCTGTGAGCGAGTGACGTGAAACACATTGCGGGGGATGGCATCCCCCGCAATGAATACCTATCGGTGTATGGGAGAATGGTTCAGTGATGAGGTTCCCCTCATTCGCTGGAGTCTACAGGTCCTCAGTACGGTGAAATTACGATGGCACCCGGAGAGAACGTCGCTGGGAAGTTTTGGAGATGGGTTGAAACTGTGCCGTACTCCCCCCTCATTAAATCGTACCAATCTCGTCCATGCCTTCTCCTCCTTTCCCTCTTTCCAGCGACAGCAGTGGACTTGGTGTGTGTGCCCATTCGTCGGAAGTGCTGTGTGCGCAAGCCCTTTTCGGGCAACTACCAGGTACTCGGCTAATCTTTGGCGAAGGGAAAAAACTTTGGCTTAGTGGCTAAAGGGAATCTTGTTTCACTGGGTCGTCCAGTGGCAACCGGACCAACCAGAGAAGGAGCTCAACAGACTCACCCTTGATGCCGGGTACAAGCACAGCATTGTACGAGTACTCGAGTACTTGTACACACCCTACGGTTGTCCCCATGTGGTGAAGACTGCTTCCTTGCTGTGCCGAGAGGCATGAATTTGTAGACCCCGCACCCCGTGTGTGACCGACCGTTCCGCCGGGCTCCCCCTAGCGCACCGTGGGTATAAAGCGGACCTCACCTCGCTCCTTCAAAGTACCTCTTTTTTGGTTTCCTATCCACTATCCAGCTCACAGTGATCACCATTACTACCCCCGCAGTGTCCAGGTTGACTTGCATACTCTCTTTTCCCCCCCAATACGTTCTTTACACTTTCACAATTCTCGCTAGCCGAGAAGATTACAATCACAATCGCTTGATACCCCCCCAATCGTTATCATTATTATTAAGTTTTCGTTGATCGAAAGTAAACCACAAAGTAATTCAAGACTATTCCCATTCCCCTTTACACACTACTCTTTCCACCCCCGGCCCTCTATAACCATGAAATTCACATCCCCAATCCTCCTCCTCGTGCTTCCAGCACTCTCCCTCGCTCGACCCTCTCTCCAGGGGGGAGATCAGCAACTGCAAGTTCGCGGAGACGATGGCGACACATCCGTACGCGACGCCATTCTCGGGCTCAGTTTCGTCGGTGACGTCGGGGCAACCTCCGACATCCGGACTGCGTCGGCCAGCGGAGAACCGAGGGAGTGTCCGCTGCTAGTTGGCCCATCGATGAATATCACCTTGGTCTATATGGATGCCCCGGATTCTTTGGGGGATGGTGGTGAGGGGTCTCCGGCCAAGAATGGCACCGTGACAAGGTTGGCGAAGAGGCGGGGTAATCTTCGCTGTCTACGGGTTTGTGTACGTGCTCTCCTTTCCCTTATTGCTTCCTTGCTTTTGGCCTGCTCTCGTTGCTGAAGGAATTGCCCCACAGTATGCTGGGAGTTGCGATCTCGTGGACTGCGGGACGCAGTAAATGCCGAACGGACGCTTTCGACGACGACATCCATTTCGGCTCTTCTCTTCTCCGTTTGCTTTTATTTCATTTCATCGATTTCGGATACCTTATCGGGTAGGAGGTTGGGGGTGAGGAGAAATGTGCCTAGGGAGTGGGAAATGGTCTTTTCCGTCAGTCGCTGTTGATACGGTATTCTGAGAATACCGGCGACTGACGGTAAATAATCTCAGTGTGCCACAATGTTGCCTGGTACCTGCATTGCTCAGTGCAGAAACGGCGCAGTACCTGCGTCGTCGATTTTTCTTTTTTTTTCTTTTTCTCTTTCTTTCTCTTCCATTATTTGGTGAGATTTCTCCATTTTTTTTTCTTTTTTTCTTTTTTTCTTTTTTCTTTACTTCTCATTCACTTCTTCTCTCAGACAAGCCACACAGAAGAATTTTCACCCAGTGCTTATCCCTCCGTTCGTACCCCGAGCCAGGCGTCGTGACCACTTTAACCCTAAAGAAGGCCGAGAGAAAAGTAGGCTTGGCCGTGAATGATTTTGTCACTTTCTCAAGCTCTCAAGGGTAGATCCAAGACAAGTCGAAACTGCACATGGAAATTGTGCTCCGCCACCCACCGGGGTGCCTGTAATGATCGACGAGTGGGGTGAGGGGTCAGCGAAGTTGGGTTGCGACTCCTTGAGGTGCAGGCTGCCAATCGCTCGCCCCGACAGTTCATCTCTATTTTCGGTGAGGAGGTCTCGTTTCAGAGTCCTCATCGGGACGGTGTGGCTGGGGTGGGTTTCACCTTCCTTGGCTTCGGAGAATTTATTGGTGATGCGGGGAATACATAGTTGGTGGCTGGTGGGCTTCGTCTCAACTTCCAGGTTCAGGCGATACGTGAGTTGTAGTGAAGTAGTGACTATGTAGTCTACGAGTATTAGGGTAGCTTGTATGGCATGGTACCGTACTCGAGTACAAGTAAGGTGTCGCGGTGACACCGTGTAGGGCGAGGGACACCGGCACACCACTATTTTGTGAGTTGTTGTAGGCTTGGCGACGGCGGATCGTTCCCACCGAATATGGGCCCGACTATGGCATGTCGGGCTACCCGTATCCTCCTCCGTCTTCGGATATTTGATCTTCCTGGCAATTCCTACCCTACTTTCACAACATTGGACTATCCGAGGTACCAAATCTACCGTACGATACAGTCCTCCCCCCCCAGTAACTTCCTTCCTTCGCTTGGTGTAAGTTTAAAGTCTATGTTGGGGGCCCCACGAGCACGGCACTCATACTCACACAATATCCTATACTTACTCCCTCGCAGCGATACGGTACCTTATTAGTGCGGAGAGCGTTACCTCTAGGTAGCATCCACCCAACCCTCCGCGATTACACCGCCAGACCGACGGAATAACTGTGTTACGGTACCAAAATCCGGAAAGTGCCCCTCTCGGCAACTCGGAAAGGTCGGCAACTATGCGCTAACACTCCCCTCCTCTACGCTGCGAGCCTCGATGTACGGTAGTATATAAAAAAGTTACATTAACCCAACTTGCTCACCGCGGTTCATGCCATGACAGCACGGGTTATATGCCACGCAAAAACCCGGATGTCGGCTGTTGCTTAATTGGTGTACTGCGAGGTTTAGCCAATCTAAGGGCGGAAAGGTGCTGTGCGGTTTCGTGATATGGCTCGCATTGTACTCGTACTGTATAGTACTGTACCTGCCCAGTACGGTACTCTGCTGCGAGGGTTGCGAATTCTGCACCTTCGGCACCACGAATCGAATCGAATACTAGAGACTCCTCGTCCCCCGATTTCTCACCACTCCCGTCACCGCACTGTAAGGGGGTTTCGAATTTTGTGAGGGAATTATAGGCTCCACTTTCTTACTGGTTTTTGGTAGTGATGAGGAGTGGGGAGGTGGGGGATATAGCAACGATAAATTTCCGTATAATATTATGTGCTGGTGATGACGCTCGTATGGAGGTTCCAATTTGCGGTGGAGTGACTTACCAGTAGGATATTATCCCGCGGGTTTGCTGCGATGCTACGTGTGGGTGGATGTGGTGGTCTTCTACTGGTTTCCGACAAACATATCATACATGAGGGGAAGCGAAGGAAATACTCAGCCCCCCTGAAGGGCATCTTCATCTCGAAGCCTTCACCATCTCTTCCCCTCCTCCTCTCCCATCTCTCTCCATCCACTTCGATGCTGTACTTCCCCTCAGCGGGGACACATCATCACATACCGTACGGTGCCAAAACCGCGATTCCTCATTCGCTCTTCGGATGAAGAAGAGAATCGAGTCACGCATCATGAGGGACACCACCCGTGTCCTGGTCGACAACCCCTGCAACCTAGACTAAGCGAAGCGAAACCACTGGGAAAAGCCCTTTTTCGCTGAGCGGTGGTCTTTAAAAGTTTTGTCGGACTACTGTAGACATACCTCACCGCACGAGTACTCATACAGGTACCGTACCCGAGTACTGTACCGGTACAGTCCTATGTATGATATGATACGAGTGCTGCAAAAACCCGGCCCGGTCGTCCTTCAGGAACGAATCGGGCAGCACCTGGCGCGCATCTTGTACCAATTCTTGGCGAAGGGGCTGAGCCGCTCCGTTGCTGAAGCGGAATGTGATGCGAGAGGGGAATACGGTAGGATGGATGGAATGATTCGGTACTGGCTCGGTACGGGGTGAGAGCGGCGTGGTGCAGTGGTGTGTGGGTGCCAGGAATAGCCGTATCATAATTGCCCTTACTAGAAGGCGGGGTCGGGAGGGGGCTAATATGCAAGGGCGAAAAATTAAACGGTTGGGTAACGGTTCGGTGGAATGCCGTGTTTCGCCCGTGATTTGTTGAAATTTCACCGGCCAACAACGAATCCTCCCCGCACCTCATCACTTTCCACTTGGCTTACCGCGCCCCTCCGTCCCCTGCATCGTGAGCTGCTGATTTGCTCACTTACGGGACCTATCATATCACTTGTGGAGCTGAACTAGCGTGGGGCGAACGAACGAACGGGGCAACGGACGAGAGATACGATGGCTCAGCAAGAACAAAAACCACACGTATTGATACTCGGCGCTGGCATCGTCGGAGTCACCTTGGCACAAGCCCTGAAGAAGGTGCCCCCCCCACTCCCTCCCACCCTTCTACCCGACCGCAGCCAACGGATAAGCTGACGCGCCCTTCTTTTTTGTATTGGACAAGAACGATATCCCATTCACTATCTTCGAGCGCGATTCCGGCCCCGACGCTCGGGGCCAGGGCTGGGCCATAACAATCCACTGGGCTCTAGCCAGTCTCGAAGCCTGTCTGCCGGACCACCTCCGGGAGCGGTTGACGGATTTGCAGGTCGACCCCGAAATGGGCAGGGTGGACCGTGGCAATTTTCTCTTTCTGAACGCTGAGACGGGTGAGATCCAGCATCGGATACCTCCGAACAGACGGTTGAGGTTGAAGAGGGATAATTTTAGGAAGTTGTTAATGGAGGATTTGGCGGTGCAGGTGGTCACCTAGCTGTCCATGTTTGCTTTTTGTTCTTACACGTATGGGGCTAGGTTGTGGCTGATTATGATGGTGGGTGGCAATAGTGGAATAAAAAACTGGTAAACATAGAACGAAACGAAGGTGGGGTTACGGCCTATTTTGAAGACGGAGCGAGCGCCTCAGGAGCTCTGCTTGTTGGCGTTGAAGGGAGTAAATCGCGGACCCGCCAGACACTCTGTCCGAACACTTATCAGTTGATCCCCCTGCCCGTTCGTCTGACTGGGTGCTCTGTGCGTCTTACGTCTTCCCAGGCAGCGCCATTGAGAGCTTTGGACCCCCTGCTGTTCCAGGGCTTGCATCCTGAGACAGGAGATTTTTTCTGGTTCTCCAGTTCGCTCCCACCCTTCTGCCTTGTAAAATAGGGCTGACGTACACCGCTAGTACTCGATACTCCAGCGACAAACGCTGACGGAGGTGACTATTACACTGCACAGTTACTCATGTCCTGGCGTCTTATCGACCCTGTAAAAGACGAGGTAGCACCGGACAACACCGAACGTCTGGAGAACATGAAACGCCGCGCGAGTCGCTTTGCCGAACCCCTCCGATCTGCCATTCTCGATATCCCGCTGGACACCGAGGTGGTTGAGATCAAATTGGGTGACTGGCCTTGCTTAGGCTGGGACAATCTCGGGGGGAGGATCACATTAGCTGGGGATGCAGCGCATGCAATGACTATGTGTATGATTATTTCCTCCTTTTGTCCCTTTTTTTCTTTGCCCCGCATAGGAGTCCACTGATGACTTGTGGGTATACTTGACAGACCGCGGGGAAGCAGCAAACCACGGCCTTATGGACGCGGCGAATCTTGCTGAAGCTCTCAAAGCCGTCTGCGACGGTAGGGTATCTTTGAGCGAGGCTGTGGATGCTTACGAGACCGAAGTGAGGAAGCGGACTACGCCAGCGGTGCTTCTGAGTCGACAGGCTTGTTTGGATGCGCACGATTGGAGTAAGATCAAATCTGGGGATGCAACGGTACTTGCTAGGAGGGCTGTTACATTGAAGGAGGACTAGAACGGACTCTCCTAATTCACGGGCACTTTGCTTGTATGTACATACGTGGATGCACGCGTCCAACCCATTATACCCCAGAGAGCTTCTGTTATCCATACATTGTCCATAGTGTTTTGGAAGACCCGGTGTCTGGAATGAAAAGCTCACACTACTTTTTTTTTTGGAAAGACTTGATATGCTTTTCTGGCTCGTCAGCCTGTATACCCACTAAGATTGCAATACACCTAAATCTACCAACACTAAATCATGGGTCAACCGCGCTTTTGAATCCCATCCCGTTTCGGCTAAGGATCCGAAAACATAAACACCCGGGAGAGGATCCTACCGTGACTACTGTGGCTGGTATCAGCTCCATGCAGCACAACATGGCACAGGTCACGATATCTCACTCGCACTTCCCACCTTACAACCAACCGCACCAACCACTCGCCGAAATCAGAAACAAAGCCATCGGTAGAATAGACCACAATATGAAGCCCTAGCAGTCGTTAAGGAAGGATGGTGCTTTGCAAATCTTCCTATGATACCACAACAAGCTTTCTTCAACGCGGTATTGCATAGAGCAGGGCGGCACCCGGGGATATGTGCCCGTCAATTACAGCGCCGGATATGTATTACCTACTCCTACAGATAACACTCCTTCCTACCGACCGATGACGTGCTTTATGCCCCTCCACTTGAAGGTCTAAGGGTATGTGCATCACAGGGCGATTACCATAATTGCGCTGGTATAATGTGCGATGCTTTTCTTCGCATCTGGTTTCGTTCTGTGCCTGCAGTGTAGTGCTTTGTGGGGCACTAGTTGGCCGGAAAGGAGAGACAAGGGTTAAAACGGTCCTTCACTCAAGCTTTGCGGATTCCTGGATGTATTGCACTGGGTTGCCATCATGTCTAGCCAAGATATATCTTATGCAAAATTCCGGGTGCTGGAAGGTACATATGGTACCGGCAGTGGGGCACCTTCCGGGTGGTGGTATCATACCGGTGTTCCATCTGCCCCACGAGCTTTCCCTCTAGGATGGGGCGCTGGCAGGTTGACTTGGTACGGAATGGGAGTTTTACGCGCCACGAACTTGGCTGGAAGAGTCTGGCTGGGCTTATATTCTGTGCTGGAACTCTAGTGAGTGAATGAACAGCCCGGAATGCGGTGGACCAGTTTCGCCCCTGGCACAAAACTCTAAATTTCTGAGTCGGTGGCATAACCCGGAACTGTTTCTAACCCGTCTTGCGTGTGTGGCGCGGGGCGCTTAGGGATGTCTGCCGGCGGTGGTGGGGGGGTATTTGGTCCCAAGCCGCTGTCCGTTCGATTCTAGTGAGGCTAGTCGAGTGATTTAGAACTCGGCATACTTTTCTGTCCATGGTTTCCTTGCTCTCTGCCATTTGTTAGATTAGGATGAACCTTTTGAAGATCACTAGTGCTATCCTAGTTCTGCCCAATCTTGCAATGTCACTTTTGCATCGAGATGAACAAGGTTTGTTTCCCGGGTTATTATTTCCCTCTGTTAATTGGAGCTCAAAGGGGTGAAACAAATCCCCCTCAGGACCGCACTGTGATTTTAGGGTGGGGCGCTAAATGCCCCTTAGTTCTACTCTAGGGGTGGCAAGGGTACTCCCCTCACTCTCCAATCTTGCCCGCCCTCGTAATATACAATGCAGTCATTTGGTCTGCGCGTGTTCTGTCGTATTTTAATCCCGGAGGCTCAATTTCGCTCGTCCTGGGAAGAGCACCTCCCCGAATAGGGTTGGTTTCGCGGAAAGGGGGGAGATTCGATCCGGCGTGTACACGGAGTTCGATGTGAGTGCCGTAGGGTACCTAGGATGAACCGGGCGGCTGCAGGTACTCGTAGTGGGAGGTCTTGGGCATTACTATCCCTTTGGTGGGAGAAAGGGGAATAATTATTTACTTTCGCAATAGCTGGTCTTGAGCCTCAGGCGCAAGGCATTCTGGACCTGGGGGTGCAGGCTTGGGAAGGGGAATTTCTATTCTTATGGGAATCTCTTCTGAGAAAGAAGAATTTAATTGAGTTTAGGGGGGAAGAGGTAAGATTTGGGGAGGTTAGCCTATTTCTTTTATTGGGGTATTTCTATTATGGAGTTTCTGTATGTTCGGAATCTACAACGGTGCGAGAATTTATAAACTAACGTTGGAAACGGGATTATTTTCGGGGTATGATAGGTGTTCAGAAATGATACCTGGAAAGCCTGACCCTGGATGGAGAGACCGACAAGGCTCCAGGGAAATCTTCAGTGTCGGCTTGTGCGCCCTGGCAGGACGGGCAACCTAGAATCGTAGTTGGTGTCATTACTACTGTACTAGTATTGCTGCAAGCCCCAAGTAGATCACCATTTCGTCCTAATACTCTTTGCCCAAAGAGAATTCTGCGGAGCCACTGTGGTAATTTTTACGGAAAATGCAACAGTGTACGGCTCCAACCAAGGTTTTCCGATTTGTATAAAAGAGAGTAACGATAGTGAGAGAGAGAAGATTGACGAGGTTGGAAGGAAAACAATTTTGGAACGTCGATGGCCTCTCTTGCTTGACGGGGAGCGGAAAGAAAATACAGGACTTATAATCTCTTCTCATCCTCCTCCCAAACCTCCGTGGAGAAACTTTCATCCTCCTGCCCTAATACTAGCGTGCGGAGAAAAAGTTTTCCCCTTCCACATCACTGGTCTGTAACGCTGGTCTCTGCAGAAGAAAAGATCTTTTCACCGATAAAACATCTCCGGTCTGGACCTGCTTCGACCAGGAGACAAGACAGAGCATTCGAGGCACTTCGCGGAGCATGCCGTGCAGAAACAGCTGATTTCCAAGAGCAGTATTCACGAGAGGGGCTAGAGAAAATTCCTAATAATACTATGGTGAGTGATATCAGAAGCATTATTCACCGACACACCCGATGGGTTTCATCGTGAGTTTTTTTTTTTTTGGGTTGGCCGCCCCCCCTTCCCCCCCGCTTTTCTCTCTTTCCCCGCCTCGGTTGGTGCCCCCTTTTGGGCGACCTTGGTGGGATAGGGCGTGCGCGGTCCCCCCCCCCTGACTCACTGTTTTTTCCTTTGGTTTGGATTGTTTGGGTGTCCGCTGCGGCGTTCGGGAGGGTTTGTTGGGGAGTGCCTGTGAGCTGGTCATGAGTCTCGGCTTCGCTACGACTTGTGCGGTTGGGCCCATACCAGAGGGTCTACGGGCAAGGCGGGGTGGAGTTGGCTTACCTCTTGGACGTAATGCCGTTAGGGCGCATATACCTGTCAGGTGGAGTCCTGTGGCTAGCGTGGTAGTTAGCTGTCAAATAAAATACTTTAGTACCCGATCCTTTGTTGTCCATTTCATACCAAAAAGGAAGCTTCTCATAGGCTTGCGAGACAACCTAAGGCTCCCCGGGTACAGCTGTTTTGCGCCTAGTATAGCATTTCCCTATAGTGACGAGCACGTCGAGATTTGAGAAAAAGTGGCTACAATCCTCGAACCTGTGAACTCGCGAGATCTGGGGTTTTCGAAGTGCATGCGATACCACTTTGCGGGTTGATATGAAAATTCGGGGTATTTTAACAGAGGTTCTGAACTCTTCCGCACGATAGATTCCGTAGTAGGAGATCCACAGGCTTACCGGTGCTGGTATAGTACATGAATGCGTGACCTGGTGGGAATTCGTGATGATACTGCTGGTTGATTGCCGGTAAGGTTAGGCTCGGGGGTTGTCATGAATCCTTCATAAGCGATTACTAAGCCCATCTGTTCTGTTGCTACGCTGTTGCTACGCTGTTGCCTGGTTGAAAGGGGGGGGGGGTGCAACGAAGCAGGCGATCGCTTCCCCGGGAGTAAGCGATAATTTCATCCTTCTGTGAGCGCTGTTATGATAATTGATCGTTCCACTACAGCTTTCCACCCTTGTCACCTCTTCTCTGGTTTTTTGTACAGATCCCGCCGTAAACGCCACCGATCATGGGATAACGGATATATACATAAACCTATTTGAAAATCACAGCCCCCGTTCCCAAAGACTCTCCTCTCCTCTTGAAGGGGATTTGGCGAAGTCATTGAGATGGTATTTGCAGGAGGGGGAGAGGAAATTTCTTAGGTATTGTTGGGCATGGAGATGGCCGGGTATCTGGCTTGTATATATAGACGCCCCTCGGCGATGGCGATTGAAAGGGAGGGACGCTCCACTCGACGCCGGTCCGGAAGTACCGTTCCGGGATGAAGCGATATCTTCTCTTGATTCAGTGAATACGGAGGTTGCTTTCCCTAACCGAAGTTATATTTTTGTTTGCTTGGTGAATAGAATTACCAGGATGGTTTTCACGGTTGGAAGAGGTAATTCTTTCACCATCTACGAATGCCCGAACCAATATCCCTATCATCGCAATTTGCCATCGGGCCCATCGCTCCTTTTTTTTTTTCATAAATACCGCTATCCCCCCCCTTCGTACATCTGTAAACGGCAAACACCTGCAGAGGGATAGCAGACGATCCCTCACCCCCTACATCACCCAGTAGGAAGGAGTAATAAAGAACGCGATGCACCAGTTTCAACAATTCCCGTCCTGAATCCAACGATATAGAGCAATCCCGTTCCTGTAGACTTAAGGGGTGAAATTGTAAGGAGATAGTAGAGACACGAACAGAATGAAATCACATTAAAAGAGATTTCCATCCGGATGATCATCCTAATGAGAAGCCCATACTTGAAAACCTGCGTAGTGATGGCATCTAACTTGACCTTAGACTCCCACCTGCAAATATCAGAATCCAATCCGAAAGAGAACCTTTCGACAACGGTAGAGAAGCAAACGGAGTGAGCGAGAGAGATGAATGTGGTAAACCCCCTCACATGATCATGTAGTAAGGAGATGAATAGGCCCCGGTTGAACTAGAGGTGGAGCACTGCTACGAGTAGTAAAGTAGCAGCTTAGTTCACGAGGAAAATCTACGGAAGTTACTCTTCTCCGTGGAATGTTAGATTCGGTAAAACGGGGGAAGTGGGCTACCCTTGGGATGCGTTGCTGGGTGGAAGTTTTGGGCCGCGGTGTGTATGAAGGGACTCATTGGAGAGAGGGTTCCCTGTCTCTGTGACCCGAACTTTCTTCCCAGCTTTCTGAGGAGGCGGTGGAGATCGACTGGCGCCATAGCTGCCGCTCCGGTATATGTAAAAGGGGATTGTAGAGTCATCGTACAACTTCACAGGAGGCCCT